ATTGATTCATGTGTCTGTTTTGATGCCAATATTATGCAGTTTTTGTTACTATATCTCTTTAGTAGAGTTTGAGATCTGGGATGGGGGTACTCCCAGTAGTTCTTTTATTGTACCAGATTGTTTAAGCTATCCTGGGTTTTTTGTTTTTCCATATGAAGTTGAGTATTGTTCCTTCAAGGTCTGTAAAGAATTTTGTTGGAAATTTGATGGGGATCTCATTGAATCTATAGATTGCTTTTGGCAAAATGACCATTTTTACTATGTTAATCCTACTGAACCATGTGCATAGATCTTTCCATCCTCTGATATCGTCAATTTTTTTCTTCAAAGACTTGAAGTTCTTGTCTTACAGGTCTTTCACTGGTTGGTTAGAGTTACCTCAAGATATTTTATACTGTTTGTGACTATTGTGAAGGGAGTTGTTTCTCTGATTTCTTTCTCAGCCCTTTTATCATATGTATTTTTTTTGGTTTTTACGAGACAGGGTTTCTCTGTATTGTTTTGGAGGCTGTATTGAGTTAATCTTTTATCCAGCAACTTCACTAAAGGTGTTTATCAGCTATAGGACTTTCCTGGTAGAATTTTTGGGGTTGTATACATGCAAATGACATGTATATTATCATGCCATTTGCAAAAAGTGATACTTTGACTTCTTTTCCAATTTGTATCCCCTTGATCTATTTTTGTTGTAATTGCTCTAGCTAAAATTTCTAGTACTATTCTGAATAGATATTGAGAGAGAGGAAAGCCTTGTCTTGCTCCTGATTTTAGTGGAATTGCTTTGAGTTTCTCTCCATTTAATTTGATGCTGGCTTGCTGTATATTGCTTTTATTATATTAAGGTATGTTCCTTGCATCCCTGATATCTCCAAGTCTTTTATCATGAAGCCATGTCGGATTTTGTCTAAGGCTTTTTCAGCATCTATTAATATGGTCATGTTTTTTTTCTATCAGTTTTTCTATATGGTGGATTACATTGACAGACTTTCATATATTAAACCATCCCTGCATCTCTGGGATGAAGCCCACTTGATCATGGTGGGTGATTTTTTTAATGTATCCTTGGATTCAGTTTCTTAGCATTTTATCGAGTATTTTTCCATCAGTGTTCATGAGGGAAATTGGTCTGTAAGTTTCTTTCTTTGTTCAGGCTTTGTGTGGTTTGGGTATCAGGGTAACTATATCCCCATTGAACAAATTTGGCACTGTTCCTTCTGTTTCTATTTTGTGGAATAATTTGTGGAGTACTTTGGACTAATTTGAAGAATAATTTGAGATGTTAGCTCTTATTTGAAAGTCTGATAGAATTCTGCACTGAACCATCTAGGCTGTTTTGGTTGGGAGTCTTTTAATGACTACTTCTGTTTCCTTTGTGGTTATAGGCCTGTTAAATTGTTCATCTGATCTTGGTTTAATTTAATTATGTGATATCTATCAATAAATTTTTCCATTTTCTTTATATTCTCCAATTTTGTAGAGTACAGTTTTTTGAAGTATGATCTAATGATTGTCTGGATTTCTTTAGTGTCTGTTGTTATGGCCCCCTTTTCATTTCTGCTTTAGTTAATTTGGATAATCTGGTTCTATTTTTTAGTTTACTTGGATAAGGGTTTGTATAACTTGTTGATTTTCTCAAAGAACCAATTCTTTGTTTCACTGATTCTTGGTGTTGTTCCCTTTGTTTCTATTTTATTGATTTCAGTCTTCAGTAGGATTATTTTGTGCCACCTACTCCTCTTAGCTGTGTTTGCTTATTTTTGTTCTAAAGCTTTTAGGTGTTCTGTTAAGTCACTAGTATGAAATTTCTCCAAATTCTTTATGAAGACACTTAGTGCTATAAACTTTCCACTTAGCACTGCTTTCATTGTGTCCCATAAGTTTGGGTGTATTATACATTCATTTTAATTGAATTTCAGGAAGTCTTTAATTTTTTCTTTATTTCTTCCTTGATGCAGTGGTAATTCAGTTGAGAGTTGCTCAGTTCCCTTGAGTTTATAGGCTTTCTGTAGTTTGTGTTGTTGTTGAACTCCAACTTTAATCCATAGTGATTTGATAAGATGCAGGGGGTTATTTTACTTTTTTTGGTATATGTTAAGACTTGTTTTGTGATCAACATATATGGTCAGTTTTGGAGAAGGGTCCATGAAATGCAGAGAAGAAGGTATATTCTTTGCTGTTTGGGTGAAATGTTCTGTAGATGTCGATTAGGTCTGTTTGAGTCATAACTGTTAGTTCTGTATTTCTCTGTTTAGATTTGGATGACCTGTCTGTTGGTGTGAGTGGGGTGTTGAAGTCTCCCGCAATTAATGTGTGGGTTTGATATGTGATTTTAGCTTTACAAATGTTTCTTTTTACAAATGCAGATGCCTTTGCATTTGGGTCCTAGATGTTAAAAACTGAGACATCATCTTGGTGGATTTTTCCTTTGATGAATATAAAATTCCTTTCTCCATCTCTTTTGATTAATTTTGACTTGAAGTTTATTTTGTTAGATATTAGAGTAGCTGCATTAGTTTGTTTCTTAGGTATGTTTGATTAGAAAATCTTTTTCCAACTATTTATTCTGAGGTAATGTCTGTGTTTGATGATGAGGTGTGTTTCTTGTATACAGCAGAGGGATGGATTCTGTTTTCATATACATTCTGTTAGTCTGTGTCTTTTTATTGGCAAATTGAGTCCATTTATATTGAAAGATACTAATCACTGGTGATTTTAAATTCCTGTTATTTTTGTTGTGTATGTTTCCCTCTTGTGGGGAATTATCTATTATTTGGTTTTTTTGTGAGTGCAACCAACTTCTTTGGGTTGGAGTGTTTCCTTTTAGTACCTTCTGTAGAGTTGGGTTTGTCAATAGATACTAATTCAATTTGACTTGGTCATGAAATAACATGCTTTCTCTGTCATTGGTGATTGAAAGTTTTGCTGGATATTGTAGTCTGAGCTGGCATCCAGGGTCTCTTAGAGTCTGCAAGACATCTGTCCAGGCTCTTCTAGCTATTAGAGTTTCCACTGGGAAGTCAGGTGTAATTCTGATAGGTCTGTCTTTATATGTTACTTGTCCCTTTTCCTTTGCAGCTTTTAATAGTTTTTCTTTGTTCTGTATGTTTAGTGTTTTGAGTCTTGTGTGGTGAGGGCACTTTTTTTTCTGGTGCAATCTATTTGGTGTTCTGTACGTTTCTTGTATCTTTATAGGTATGTCCTTCTTTATGTTTGAAAAATTTTCTTCTATGATTTTGTTGAATATGTTTTCTGACCTTTGGGCTGGACTTCTCCTTCTTCTATTCCTATTATTCTTAGTTTTGGTCTTTTCATGGTGTCCCAGATTTCCTGGATGTTTTGTTTTAGGATTTTTTTTAGATTTAACATTTTTTTGACCAATGAATCTATTGCCTTTTGTATCTTCAATGACTGAGATTCTCTCTTCCATCTCTTGTATTCTTTTGGTGGTATCTGCATCTGTAGCTCCTGTTTACTTACTCAGGTTTTCCATTTCCAGAATTCTCTCAGTGTGTGTGTTTTAATAGCTTCTATTTCCATTTTCAGTTCTTGAACAGTTTTGTTTCTATCAACTGTTTGTTTTATCTTGGTTTTCTTTAAGAGATTTACTGATTTCCTCCCATTTTTTGGTTGTCTTTCCCTCCATTTCTTTAAGGGATGTTTTTCCATTTCCTCTTTTTCATACAGTTGTTTTTAAGGCCATTTTTTTTGTACTTCAGCTGCTTGGAAAGTTCAGGTTTTCCTGTTGTAGGATTCTGGTGGTGACATATTGACCTTTCTGTTATTCATTGTATTCTTGCACTGGCATTTAGGCATCTAGATTTTGGGTGGTTATCAATCTATGTGTTGATTCCTGTGTTTGTCATTGTTGGATAGGTGTTCTGTTGCTTTGTTTCTGTTTCCTCTCTGGTCTTCTGAACTAAGTGGTCAAGGATTCTGGTGACTGGTGAGTCCTCAGGTCCAGTAGGGTATCTCCACTGGGGTTTTGGGGGCCTTGGGTCCCCTTGATCTGCTCTGGCCTCTGTAAAACTGAAGTTTTCTTGGGTCTCTAGATTCAACCTGGCCTCTAGTAGAGCCTGAGTCTTATTCTCACCTACCCAGAACCAGCCTGGTCACTGGTACAGCTGCTGGGGCTGTTCTGTTGAATGGCATGGACTGTATGTGGGCCTGTGGTGTCTGTTCTTCCAGCTGGTGTGGATTTTGTCTGGGCCTATGGAGTCTGCTGGAGTTCTAGGGAAGGGCTGCTTGTGGATTGGGGAGGGCATTTGTGGCTGGTGTGGTCTGTGCCTCAGTGGCAGAAGTCTACTGAGGTTGGAGACACAGCAGCAGCAGGGCCAGGGATGAGCAGAGATGGCTTTGGCCTGGGAAAGGGTCATGGTGAATAGAATCCAGGGAGAGGTACAGTTCTGCTGTTAGGCAGGCCACTTAGATATTCTGGTTTGTGTGGCCTGGACATGCTTGTGGGAAATCTTCTGGAGTAGGGAGGAGGGCCTGGTTTGGGGTTTGAGAAATGGTCACAGTGGAAAAATCCTGGTGGGGGTTAGTTCCACCAGTAGGTGGGTCATTCACCCCTTCTGACTGGTGTGTTCTGTGCCTCAGTGGTAGAGTCCAGTTGGGATTGAGGGTAGGGGCCCCACAGTAGCAGGGCCAGGGACAAGCTGGGATGGTGTTGGCCTGAGGAAGGGTTGGGGTGGACACACTGGGGAGGAGCTGCAGTTCCACTGCTAGGTGAGTCCCTCTGAGCCTGTGCTTTTCAGTGTTTACAAATGGCCTCTTCTAGGAAATGTATTCCTAGATTTCAAAGCCAAAGTGGCACATATATAAATAATGGCACATTATTCATAGTTTTTACATCATTGTGCATAATAATATCTCAGAAAGATTAAAACTACACCACCAGTATTGGTTTGTTGTCAATTTTGAATCTAAACACTCATTGTTGTCTTTCCTTATGTTCTGGTTAACCAGTCAGTGACACTATGTTCCTTGTGATTTAAACACAGGTGATTGTGATACAGACTCGATACAGGCAATGGCATGCTAAGCGCTATGTGGAGAGCTTAAGACAACAGAAGAAAAGGAGGCTGGAGTGGGAGGAAGAGCAAGAGCTCAAGAAGATCAGAGAAAAGGAAGAATGGATTCAAATGGACTACTACCGGAGGCACAACCCTAAGACGAGTGAAGACTTTGAGCTCCTTTACAATGCTCTGGAGCGTAAGTGCCACAAGGGCTTTGCAGGACACATAGGCTTGATGAGGAAAAAAGAAAGACATCCTTGTTGTAGGGCGTTGTCTTAGGAATCTAGGTTAGGGCATCTCTCTCTCTCTTCTGTGTGTGTGTGTGTGTGTGTGTGTGTGTGTGTGTGTGTGTGTGTGTATACAAACATCCCTGGCTGCCTTGGAACTCACTATATAGACTAGGCTGACTGGCCTCTGAGGTCTGTCTCTCAGCTGGGATTAAATACATGCTCTTTTCTACTACACCCAGCAAATATGTTATAGTTGTAATGGGAATTAAGAATGACATAAAATTGCAAGTGTTTTAAATAACAACAAATGTATTCACGGCTGTGAGAACTATGGAGTTTTAGAATATCATTGCTCATCTGATTGTGTGATACTTGAATGGCTTGTGAATTCATCATTGAGTCATGACTCTTACATCCCACATCCCATCTGATTATACTCTAGCCATTCCCCTTTAGCCCCCAACAACAACAACAATTTTATCTTATGACCTCTATAGGATGTGTGTTACTTAGAGATAAAGGCAAAGATTTCATTACTTCCAGTGTTAGGGTCTGTGTCACTTACTCAAAGGCTTTTGTGACTGATAATATGATGGAAGATAGGGAATAAAGAAGGGGCTCCAAGGAGAGAAATGTATCTATTGCCCTAAGTAAAGAGTTCATGGCCTTTACAACTAATGGAATACATAAAACTTGAAAAGAAGGAAGACAAAGCCAATAGACAAGACCAATTACTCCAGGCTCTTCTTAGAATATGGGTAATCAAACCAACATTCTTCAGCTGTTGGCATTCATGGAAACCCAAGTTAGTGAAAACCAGCTGTAGCATACTGCTATTGTTATCTGATGGTCCTCACTGTCCCACCAAATTTTCATTGTCATCAGCACTTGTGTCTAGCATTTGTTTTTACCAGTGGAGTACAAACTCCATGAGTGAACGATTCATTGGTATTTGGGCAATGTTTATTTTTCTGTTTATTTTTGTTAGCTCATATGCCTAACAATAGCCATAAAATGAATTAATGAAGAAGGGAAGAAAGAAACCCAGGAACAGATAAACATAATGGTCTGAAGACAGGAGCCCTTTCTTACACTGCATATCTGAGAAAGGAGAGCTTGGGTTCTTGGAAGAATACAGATTTTTAACAATCAAAAGTAGCCCCAATTTCATTGTAGTTGAACAGTGTCTTTCAAGTCAAGAGAATAAGCCTTTGTCTTCTCTGATTATTTATAACATTAAGCATTGTTATCTGTTTTTGTGGTTACCCCATGTAGTATAAGGATCATTTCATAATTGGTGATTCATAGAGGGTATTGTTAGTCATGTTTCCTGGAAAAAATCCTATAATCATAAAACTAACATTCTATTATAGCAGGAATATATGAGAATGATATTTTAAGTCATATATGAATTAGCCAAGGGTGTCACTGTTATTTTTGTCATGATGATGGGCAACTTTGAGAAACATCAGAAAAGATCAAATTCTGCCTTCCCTGTTTGACAGTGTTGGGTAGACAGATTGACCTCTTCTTGTAAACCTGTTTTCCAATTCTGAAAAGGATTCAACCGTTTCAGTTGCATTTTATTCAGAAGGCTCAATAGAGTGAAGAACACAAATATAACATTTACCGAAATGCATGTGGAGTGCCTGCCCCGTGGCGGCTAATCTTAACAGGGTTTCTTTGTTAACATAGAACATGCATTTTACATATGGCTATACAGGAATTGTATGGTTAAAATGAAAACAAATTAGACATTTCTTATGTAGGAAATTTATTTCAGTTTTTCGATTTAAAACTATGAATTAAGATATTTAGACTAATTTTAAAGTCATTTTTGGAGGGGGTACTCAGTATCTGTTTACAAGATAGGTGTTTTATGCCACTTCTCTCTTCAAGTTTTCAGTCCTTCTTCCCAACTGTGCCTTGTAATTGCTGCCCTCTTGTGGCTCAGAGTGACAATTGCATGGTTTGAACTACAATCCATAATCCAAAACAAGTTTCTTTTTTATTATGTCCTTAGTAATAGAAACAGAATGATACTTATTTAAGAAGATAAGGTTAATTTGGGGAAGAATAGAGGAGAGCAGGATGAGAGACACCATAATAGAGGGAGTCACTATAGGTTTGCGGAGAGATCTGGCACTAGTGAGATTTCCAGAGATCTACAAGGATGACACCAACTGGCAATCTAAGCAATAGTGGAAAGGCTACCTTAAATGCCCTTCCTCGATAATGAGATTGACGACTACCTTATATGCTATCCTAGAGCCTTCATTCAGTGACTGATAGAAGCAGAGGCAGACACCCACAGCTAAATACTGAACTGAACTCATGGAACCCGGTTGTAGAGAGTGAGGAGTAAAGGGGTCAAAACTGGGATGGTGAAGCCCACAGAGACAACTGACTTGAACAAGGGAGAGGTCATGGACCCCAGACTGATGGCTGAGAGGTCAGCATGGGACTGATTCAGACCCCCTGAATGTGGGTGTCAGTGGGGAGGCCTTGACAATCTTTGGGGTCTTGGGTACTAGATTAGTATTTATCCCTGGCATCAGAATGGACTTTTTGAGCCCATTTTGTTTTTTTTTTTATAAAATTGGTTTACCTGTTGTATGTGTGGAAATCAATTTGTTTTTAACATAATTTGCTTTTAGCTATTTTTTTTAACTGAATGACATTTTCCCTATTGAATTGATTTTCTATCTTTATCAGAAACCAGTTAACTGTTTACTTGTGGGTCTGTCTAGAAATATCTAGAACCTTTATCTTGTTCCATTGAATTATTTGTTAAGCTTTATACCATTATTACACAGTTTTGATTTCTGTAGTTTCACAAATATCGAAATGAGGGGCTATTAGTCCTCTGAGTGTTTTGTCTGGTTTAGTTTTTTTTTTTAAACAGGTTTGACTATTTTAAGTTGTTTGCTTTTCTGAGTAATGTTTAGAACAAGTTTGTACAAATGAGTCTGCTAGGACTTTGAATTTTGTGACGACTCACTTCTTATTCACATGGAACCGACCAATGAGAAGTTAGGGAGAGTACTTCCAGTTTTTCACAATGGGTATTATTTTACCTTAGCTTAGGTGTTTATTGATGTTATTTATTTGACTGAAGGCATTCATTATTATAAGTAAATGTCTGAAAAATTTTTTATTGGGGGGGGATGAATGCTGTGTCTTGACACCTGCCTTTTCAGTATTCAAAGAATTATACAATTTGTTCTGTAGTCCATGCCACAGAGATTTATATCAATTGAGTTCTGATTTGTTAAACCAACCCCACATTTCTTTTTTATTTAAGAATTTTTATTTTATACACCAACCCCAGCTCCCTCTTCCTCCCTTTCTCCTGTCCCCATCTCCCACCCTTCCCACCCCCTATCCACTCCTCCTTGGGGAGTCAACGAGGTCTGGAAGTCAACGAAGTTGAGGAAGGACCAAGCCCCTCCCCCTTGTATCAAGGCTGAGCAAGGCATCTCACCATAAGGATATGGGCTCCAAAAAAACCCATTTCATGCTCCTGGGATAGGTCTTGGTGCTATCCCTCCCCCAAAGATCAAGTCACACAACTGTCACCCAGTCTAGTTTAGTTCCATGCAGTTTCCCGGCTTCCAGTCCATGCACTACCCCTAGCTCAGGTCAGCTGTCTCTGTGGTTTTCCCCATCATGGTCTTGACCTTCCTTGTTCATATGATTCCTCCTCCCTGTCTTCACCCAAATTCCAGGAGCTCATCCCAGTGCTTGGCTGTGGGTCACTGCATCTGCTTTCATAAGTGACTGCATGTAGGTTCTGTGATGACAATTAGTCACTAGTCAGATATAAGGGAAAGGCCTATTCTGACACTCTCTCCACTACTGCTAGGAGTCTTAGCAAGGGTCATCCTTGTGTATTCCTGGGAATTTCTCAAGCACCAGATTTCTCTCTAACCCCACAATGACTCCCTCTATCAATATATCTTTTTAATTACTCTCCCCCTCCATCCCTTCCCAACTCAATCTTCTTGATCTCTCATATTCCCATCTCCCATCCCCTCCCTTCTACCCCTCTCTCACTTAACCCAGGAGATCTTAACCATTTTCCCTTCCTGGGGCCTTCCAAGTGTGTCCCTCTTATGGTCCCCCTTCTTACCTAGCTTCTCTGGGGTTGTGGATTGTAGTGTAGTTATCCTTTGCTTTACATCTAATATCCACTTATGACTGAATACATACCATGTTTGTCTTTCTGGGTCTGGGTTACCTCACTCAGGATGGTTTTTTCTAGCCCCATCCATTTGCCTGCAATTTTCAAGATTTTTTTTTTTTTTTTTTTTTTTTTTTTACTGTGGAGTAGTACTCTTCAGTTGAGGGCATCTAGATTGTTTCCAGGTTCTGGCTATTACAAATAATGCTGTTATGAACATAGTTGAGCAAATGTTTTTGTGGTATGAGTGTGCCTCCTTTGGGTATATGCCCCAGAGTGATATTGCTGGGTCTTGAGGTAGATTAATTCCCAATTTTCTGAGAAGCTGCCATACTGATTTCCAAAGTGACTGTACAAGTTTGCACTCCCACCAACAGTGGAGGAGTGTTCCCATGACTCCACAACCTCTCCAGCATAAGCTATCATCAGTGTTTTTGATCTTAGCCATTCTGATAGATGTAAGATGGTATCTCAGAGTCGTTTTGATTTGCATTTTCCTGATAGCTAAGGATGTTTGCCAATCCCTTATTTGTCTTTTGGCCGTTTGAGTTTTTTTTGTTGAGAATTCTCTGTTTAGGTTTGTACCCCAGTTTTTAATTGGATTATTTGGTATGTTGGTGTTGAAAGACCCCAAGCGGGGGACTTTCACGGGAGGGAGACCCGAACCCAAGGAACGAGACCACGAGCTTGGATGCAACAGCAAGAGGCTTTATTGATAATACACGGGTACCCGGGGCGTCTCAGTCTCGGGAACTGAGAGCCCCGAGCTGGGGACTCAGGGGTTCTTTTATAGCAAAAAGCGCAGTACAGAAGCGAGAAGCCTAGTTACAGGACCCTGATTGGGCAATTTAAATGAGGCTGGGGCTCAGAATGAGGGCAATTGAGGTTTTGCTTGGAACTCAAGTCTCAGCCTTGGCCCTATCTGAGGAACAATAGGTCTCTGTGCTTGCCCAATCTTGCTGGGCTGGCCATCTGGTCAGAGCTCCCTTCTGATAGCAAAGACTATTCAGCTGTGGGGACCTTGAACTGAGCTCCCCTCTGATAGCAATGACTATTCAATTGTGGGGGAAACGGAATTTTCCATAAGCCTCGGCTGCCTGTTTAGACTGGGCCGGGGTCTTTCAGTGTCTAGCTTCTTGAGTTCTTTGTATATTTTGGAAATCAGCCCTGTGTCAGATGTGGGGTGGGTGAATATCTTTTCCTGTTCTGTGGGCTGCCATTTTGTCTTTTTTACTCCGGTGGCGTTTATTGGTTTTTCTGTTGCTGAATGTGTTTTTATATTGTCTTCTTCCCATCCCTTCTTCCAGTGGGTGCAGGAGGAGTTTCTTTTTCTCCTGGTGGGCACTGGTCCAAGGTTCTCTTCCGGTGAGTACAAGCAGGTCCAATACTCCGATGGCTCTCCTCTTCCTGTGGGTGGAGGTGAGAGAAGGATGCTGACAGACTCCAGATGGGCTGGACCACTGGGATGAGTTCCCCGTTGTGCAGTCCCCAGGCCTCAGGAGGCTTCTGTGGGGCACCGGAAGGCAGACCGGAACCAGGCCCACTTCTATATTTTTTGCTTTTTCTAGACAGGGTCTGTCGGTAGACTAGGCTAGCCTCAGGCCCACATAGACCCACCTGCCTCTGCATCCCAACCGCTGGAATTAAAAGTGTGCAACACCCCCACCGGGCTAGAAAATGCTTTTTTAAAAGTCCAGAGTAAAGATAGGTTTGATTGTGTGAGCAGAAGAGATTCTGGGAACATCCTTAGAAATATCATCCTGACACTGTACTTACACGCTATTTCCATGCAGAAGGAAAGAATTTGATGGCCACTGGATTAAATGAAGCCTTTGTAGTGAGCCAAAGGCTATGTCTCATGTTCAGAAGAAAGGATATTGTGTTTTTTCTGCTTTTGATAGAATCATGTATTCCATACAGCGTGACTACTCGAGCTTGGATCATGACACCAGCATGCCATGTCTGGTGTCTGTCCTTGGGCAGGTTCACATTACTTTACCTCAGTTCCCTTTTCACTAAGACCAGAGATGACAAAACCTGCTTCCTCCCTGGCTTGTCAGGGAGATTCAACTGGCTCCTATGTGTGAAGTGATCTTTTTTTTTTTTTTTTTCTAGACAGGGTTTCTCTGTATTGCTTTGGAGCCTGTCTTGGAACTCGCTCTGTAGACCAGGCTGTTCTCAAACTCACAGAGACTGTCCTGCCTCTGCCTCCCAAGTGCTGGGATTAAAGGCGTGTGCCACCAATGCCCGGCATGTGAAGTGATTATAAATAAACCCATCTGTACTTTGTCCTGCTTTCTGCATTGCAACATACACTTACTACAGTTGTGTTTACAGGTGGATGGATGGAACATGATCACATGGCTTCTGGTATAAACAGTCACGATAGTTAGGTCGTAGATCTTTCACCTCAGGTGGTGTGTTTTTGAGTCCTGTTTCTTAAAAGAATGATGTGGGTTCTGCTTTCATTTTGCTCGTCTTGACCAACTTTCCATGTTTCAGTTTTGGTGTCACCTCGTTTCAAACGTGTGTCGTGAGAATATCATGCCACCGCAGTCCTCCAAAGCTCCTCAGTGGTGCAGGGGGCTTGGTGCTTTCCCAGAGGACTTGAGTTTGGCTCTCAGCACTTACGTTGGTTGGCCCACAACCATCTGTATCTCCAGCTCTAGGAGATCTGCCGCCCTCTTCTGGCCTCTGTGGACACTTGTGGCATACACACAAGACAAACGACACACATGCACATAAATAAAATTAATTATTACAAATCTTCAAAGTTGCCTGGCAGTGGTGGCACGCACCTTTAATCCCAGCACTCAGGGAGACAGAAGGAGGCAGATCTCTGAGTTTGAGGCCAGCCTGGTCTACAGAGTGTGTTCCCAGGACAGTCAGAGCTATACAGAGAAACTTTCTCAAAAAAAGAAAGAAAGAAAGAAAGAAAGAAAGAAGGAAAGGAAAGAAATCTTTGAAGTTATTCTATTTAAACAGCAACAGATTAATATGTAAAGTATTAATATGTGACATAATTACACATTAATATGTAATCTCATATTTTAAACATAATGCATTACCCATTGCATTATTCGCCTTTCTTTAGACTTTGTTTCAAAAAATCTTTTTCTGTACACACCAACATAGTTACCCTTGTTTTCAGCTGTGATGTCAAATGTTAGATGTTCTCTTAAGGCTTTTTTTTTTCAGAGACTTTTTTTTATTATTATTATTATTTTTTTTATTTTCCATTTTAAATTTAGATAAGAAACAAGGTTGCTTCACAAGTCAGTTCGAGGTCCCTCTCCCTTTCCCTCCCCTCCTCCAGTGTCCTCCCCCCATCCCCCCCCCGTTATCCCCTCATTCCCCCAGGGAGGGTGAGGCCCTCCATGGGGGTGTCCATAGTCTGTCATTTCATATAGGGCAGGGCCTAGACCCTTCCCCAAGAGTTCAGGGTGAGAGTGCACCTCACATTGTTCTATGGGAGTCCAGAGTCCGTGTGTATACTTGGGATGGGTACTGATCTGCTGTCCAAGGCTTTCAGAGACTTTTTTAAAGCATGGTAACTATGAACTAGCTTCATGGTCAGTCAGGCTAGAGATTTACCATCTTCTTCTATGAGACCTACTTCCAGAGATACTGTGGTAGTTTGGGAAGTAGTGCTTGTGTATTTTGGGCGATGGTTTATTTTTAATGTATTCATCCAAATCTTCATTGTATTTCCTGGGAATTCTGTCTGCCATCGGGACAGCGCATTCTTTTCTTATTTCTATTGATGCTCTCTATCTCTCCCCTTTGCCCTCCTTCATCTTTTTGTCACTTCAGTCAGGACAGTGTTTGGCAGGTTGTGCGGAAGCCTCTATTTTGACAGAATTTGACAGCATATTTTGAGTGCTATGTTAGGAAACAGGAAATGGTTGACCTGGATGTGAGAGGAAATTATGACACATAATGTACAATTTAAAAATGAAAGTGTTTATGTCTTGAGAAGGGAAAATGTAAGAGAGACATGAGACACTACCTTCTGTTGGGCAAAGAGGTGACATGTAGTTCAAGAAATTGGCTCTGTGGCAGGTCAATTATTCCTAGCCAAGCTGCTGAGAGGAGGCTACGATATTGGATGTAGGGTCGAGCAATTTCATTTCTAAGGTCATTTCCTATCCTATGCTCTGTCACTATAAGCTTGACAGTTTTGAAATATGAAGTGAAAAATAATTTTATTCCTCAAATTTAGTTTGCTTAAGGATTTAAATAGAACCTTGATTAAAATCATATCTGAGTCTAGAACCTTTGATTTAAACTTGAGATATGATATAGAAATTCATTTGTGATGATGTAGATCTATATTTAGATAGAATGGGTTTACTAAATTATTGCTCTTTGGAGTTTTTTGATATGATCTTGGGCTATATTTATGCAATATCATCTTTACTTATACTGACCAGGGCTTTAAAACACCTCAAGAATTACTATAACATAATGCAGTTAATCTAAAATTTGTATGGTGTGATTTAGAGTTTTGTCAAAATAGAAAGTGATACAATAAATGTCATAAGTAATGTAAACTCTTGTGTATAAAACTATTTTGGGTCGTCGGGGAAGCAGATGGTAAGATGGAGTAAGAAGTAGCAGAGAAAGGGAAGGAAGAGCAGAGGAAATCAAAGAAAGTCTCCAGACTTGCAGAAGCTGCAAGGGTAAATGAAGGAGCAACGGTGTGGGAGACCCAAAAACGTTAAGAACACTTAGTACATTTGAACTAAGAGCTGCGCAAAATTATCTTAGCTTGAGTGTTGGAAAGCTGAGGCCTGAGTTTGATTTCCAGCAATCACATAAGGTGGCTATAGTCACCTGTAGCTCCAGCTCCAGAGGGATCTGACACGTCTGGCCTCCAAGAGCATCTGTAGTCATGTAGACAGCCCCACACAGCCATAACTAAAAGAATAAAAATATGAATATGATCAGGTAAATTAATATAATTAAAAAGTAAAAAAAATTCTCTGCCTTTTAGAAAGCGGTGGATTTTGACAACTCATGAGTCTTTCATGTTATTCCTCTAGTTTGGCGGCAAGAAGAAGTTGCACAAATTAACCAATATTTAGCTAAAGCTGAAAGGAAGGCTGCTCTATGCGAACTTTTGGAAAAAGAGATACAGATAATTTCTTCCATCGGGAGACAGAGATACGTTGCTCGAATGGAGAGGCAGGAAGCTGCTATACAATGTTTTCTGGATAAGGTTAGTGGTCTTACTTAAAGGTGAGTGGGTCCCGATTTAGCAATGTGAAATTATGATCTAAAGGAGAGAGTAACAATGTAAGAACTTCTGTAAAGTTTTGATATTTTGATATGTCTTTAAATCCTATATATTTACTCTTTTAATACAGCTGAATACTTGAACTGTACCCTCAAATAGACTAACAGGGAACATGAGATTCTCATGTGCCTGACCGAGGAGATTTGCTCATGGTTACTTGAATTTGGAGAGTTGCCCATTCTGATGGTGTGCAAAGTACTAAAGTCCCAGAATGTCTGAGTCTTTGGTACCCAGTGGTCAGCAGCTTGGGAAGTTAGCTGGAGACCTATGTGTATGCTTTGGATCACCACAGCCCTAGCTGACTGGACATTTCTGATCAGCAGATATATATATATTTATTGAAAAGCAAGAAATCATGCAATTATAAGGAAAACTAAAGTAATTACCTTGTTGTGGTCAAACTGCCTGTTTGATATTGAAAGTCAGTTTCCATAGCAACAAATTTCCTTTTAGAAACCTGATCTTTCCAGACAATTAAAAGTTAATCCACCCAGAAGAAGTAAAGGACACAGTTTTCTAAGATACTTGTTTGCTGTGATTCTACTTCTGTGGTTCTTGTTAGTTGAGAATATTTTTTTCTTTAAAAAAAAACACCTTTTTATTACTTTAGATACCCTCCTGTCTTCCTATTTGTGCACCCTTCTACTCGACTTCAGATTACCATTGGCTTTAATTTTAGTTCTGGTTCCAGACCAGATCCTTAGGAACTTCTAAACCACGTGCCCAATTGTCCAATTCCCACTGTCTTCTGCCCCTTTGGAGATCCCAAGAGTATTCTTCAGGGTGATGTGATAGCCCAAAGTCACCCTCACCTCCATATGAGTCCTTGTCTGTAGAGGTCATCGAACCTGTCTCATCTACTCACTTGCTCTAGATCAGCAGTTCTCAATCTGTGGGTCACAACACCTTTGGGAGCCAGATGACCCTTTCACAGGATTTGCCTAAGACCATAGGAAAACACAGATATTTACACTATGATTCATAACAGTAACAAAATTACAGTTATAAAATATCAATGAGTATAATTTTATGGTTGGGGGTTACCACACCATGGAGAACACCAAGGGTCACACCATGGAGAACTGTATTAAAGGGTCACAGCATTAGGAAGCTTGAGAACCACTACTTTCGATAGAAACATGAATGTTACTATTGATTTCTCTACCTTCCCACCAACCTGCTTTTTGCTGTTGCTCTGTTTTCCCTTAATTATTCATGTGTTCCTTTCCAAACCTGCTCTCATTGACTGTAGGGAAATGGTTCTGTTCCACATCTTGATGATACTGCCTGTGTCAAATAGACCATGCAGGCAAAGACATAAGCCACAGATGTCTGAGTCTGATCAGACTTTGTAATTAACCTGATATTAGGAGGTGGGGGGGGTCATAGTAACTCCTATCTTCTCCCTCCCTATCCCTCCAGGAAAATCACCATGAAGTGGGGTTGCCTTTCTTTGTCTCTTGTATGTTATAATGGATACTCATTTAAGTGAATATGGGTGTTCTTCTCATCTGGATTATTTGTTACCATGTGGGGCCATTCCTTTTCCAGTATAAATTCTCAGTGCTTTGTCCCATCATCAAATTGACTATGGGGAAGACCTTAGTGGATACACATAGATTCCATCCTTCTGTACCTCTCTGTAGGATCAATGATTTTAATCACCTCCTGTGCACCCCTAATCTCATTGTTATATTATGATTATCATTGCGTGTGTGTGTGTGTGTGTGTGTGTGTGCACTAAATCTAAATGGCTCCAGTTGCGCTCAGTCGCTTGTTTGTCTCCAGAAAGACCATGCACTCTTGATGCTTTTGCCTCTGTGTGGTTTCCTTTCTCAGGTTTCTTAGTTGTCAGTTACTTTCCCTTTCACACAAGCTTGAATGCTTCCTTCTTCCAAAAAGAGAGGGTTAATACCCCTCTTCCTTTAGATTGTGCTCATTGCTCTCATGAGGCTGTCTCTCTGACTTTATACACGGTAACTATTTGTGTTGTATCTAACCCTTGACTGACTTTCAAGATTATCCTTTTGAGACAGGGTCTTACTATGTAGCATTGGTTGGCCTGCATCTCATTATATAGACCAGTGACCTCAAAGTCACAGAGATCCAAGTGCTTCTGCTGTGGAGTGCTAAGATTAAATATATGTGCCAGCACACTCAACAGGTTTATTATGATACTTATGGTAAGAGATATCTTTTATTTTGATGCCCTCCTGCCTTCACACATTCCTTACATGGATTATCAATACATGTTTATGGAAGAAGACAGGAAAATATGAGCAGAAAATAATGGTATGGATTTCATATTCCAAATAAAGATCAAGTCATGTAGACAGCACCATTGTTAAAATTTTCAAATTATCTTCCTTCAAGGAAAGACAATTGTGGGAAACTGTAATATCCCTATTTGTGGTGGTTTGGATGAGAATGGACTTCATAGACTCATACATTTGAATGCTTAGTCACCAAGGAGTAGAGCTCTTTGATAGGATTGGAAGGATTATGAAGTGTGGCCTTGTTGGAGAAAGTGTGTCATGGCGGAGGGGAGTGGGAACTGAACTTTCAAAATGCCCAGGCTAGGCCCAGTCCTTCTGCTTCTCGGCCTGAGGGTCAAGATGTAGCTCTCAGCTACTTTTCCAGCATCATACCTCCCATGCCTGCTGCCATGATGCCCACCATGATAACGAGGGACTAAACCTCCGAAACCGTAAGATGCCCACCACTAAATGCTTTTTTAAAGGGTTGCCTTGGTCACGGTGTCTCTTTATAGCAATAGAACACTGGCTGGAACAATTTATTTCTCACGATCATATTCAAACTAAATATATTGTTTGAACAAGCTGCTTTATCTTGAACCTTCTCGATGACTAGAACTATGGTTTCAGATGCCTTTTAACTTTACTAGAGGTGATGGCATGGACCTGGTGCAGCCTGAGGGTTTGCAAGAGATGGAGGCTTCTGGGTTCCAATGGACAAAAATGACAGGTAGCACTCGTGCATCCTTAGTTGAAACTTGTCTTCTTCAGGACTTTCCCTTTATGCTATTCTGGCTTCTTTTTTGTAAGGTAGTCTAAATTCTACTGTAAACCCTTATACAATGAATCTCCTCATTTATGCATTAAGCTCTTTGCTACCATATCTTTGGTCCCCATATCTAGCATTGCTTCTAAGCACTCTTTGAAATTATATATGTGGATCAAATATATATATATATATGTGTGTGTGTGTGTGTGTGTGTGTGTGTGTGTTTGTGGGGGGACAAATCACAAATATGAAACTGATTCTAGAGTCAATTGATTACCATCATCCTGTCTCATGAAGTACATATACATGCTAAGAAGATTTTATATGCATTTCATCCAAAATAAAGATAAAATGGAGACTTATTGTTCAGAAGAACTTCTAACAGGAAAATCTGGTTTTGATTTCTAAATACGTTGTAAAGAGTGGAGTCCAAAGTCTTGAAGGACTCTCAGCACAGGAAGATCTGCCCTGTGACAGAGGCCTGCTGGGAAGTCCAAGGAGGTGGGGCTGGATTTTGATGTTGTCCTGGAAAGTAGACTGACTGAGAAGACAGCTGGAAGGCAGTGAGGGGAGTTTTGACCTTCGTATTAAGTAAATAAAACATTAAATCAAAGTGTGTGTGTGTGTGTGTGTGTGTGTGTGTGTGTGTGTGTGTGTAAAGTTGTAAGGGTCAAGAAAAGCAAAGCAGTAATTGGCTTTGGGTCCAGGAGTAGTCAAACTGACAATCTTGACACCACTGTAATCCAAGATTATCTAAAGTATGTTTTTGTATATGAAGTTGTACTAAACATCTAGAAAAGAAGGTAAATGATGCAGATTTTAGTAGGAAATAGTTATGGTCTGTTACTGCCTTACAGGACTTTTTGATTGCTGATAAAACAGTTTTTAGTTATCCCAGAAGTCAGTCAAGGTCACAGTTATTTTAGAAATTAAAAGTAACAAGCAAGCAGGTTTACAATGTAACATGTATCATGAAAACACTATGAAGTGAATATTTAAAGCAAAAATTTACTTTCTTATCACTTAGAAATAGCTTCAAAGGATAAACATTTAATTTAGTTTCGGTTTAAATTTATTTAGCCCAATGACTGTGGGAACTATTGAAAAAATTTATTGTTTTATCTTATACTGAACATACTATGTCTCTGAATAATGACTGACATGATTTCATTGGTCTAATCAAGAAATTGAACTAAAGATCCTTACAGTTCTCACTCTTTTTAAAGATTTTTAAAAATTTGGTTTAATTTCATGTACTTTGGTGTTTTTGCCTGTGTGTTCATGTGAAGGTGTCTGAATTCCTGGATTTACAATTACAGTGTGAGCCGCCATGCCAGTGCTCGGAAATGAACCCAGGTCCTCCGGAAGAGCAGTCAGTGCTCTGAACCTCCAAGCCATCTATCTCTCCAGCCCCGACTCTAAAGATCTATAAAGCATTAATTAACTTGTAATTTACCACATGGAACATTACCTTCTTCAGGTTACTAGACATTAAGAACTGACAGGTTGATTGAGGTCAAGGAATTCGGGTCATGACATCTAAATGAAAGATGACCAGTTGGTTTCTGGTTTTAATGTTTTGGGTGAGTTTTACCAAACTATGTGAAAAGATCATTTGTGTTTCTGTAAGCGATTATCCCTAGAGTTGAGGCCATGCATTTCCTTGATCCATACATCCTTTCTCACAGTCACAAGCTTAAAAAACCTGCAGTTTTGTGAGCTGTGCCGTGTACATGCCTCTTCGCCATGCTAAAGCTAGGCCTAAAGCTAGGACAGGAAAATGCATCCGCCTCCGAATGAGCTGTGCGGTTCACAGGGGGCCACTGTGGATGAATAAAACCCTCTGCTGTAGAAAAGAAAAGTTGATCACAACCCAGTGGCTTTTGGGTGGCTTAACTTTGTGCTTAATTTGTACCCTTGGGGACCCGAGAATTAATTCCGGAGGAAGAAAAGGGTTATTCTCCCAGGGCAGCCATTTTTTCTTCTCCGGGGAGGCCTGCTGCTCTCAAGGCTTTTGTCAGCTCCCCACCTCCCTTCCTGTCCCGCTGTTCTTCTGTTGCTCGGCCCCACAGCCTCTGCTGTCTCATTTGTTGGCAGCTAAGTGGAATTTATTACGCCTCTATTTCTGAAGCAATTTAAGAGCATGATTGTTGTACATCTCTTATTATAGCCAAAGCATTCAGAGAAAAAAAGGAACTATGAAGGAGAAATAAGCAAAGTTGACATTTTCCCTCATCAGAGTAAAAAAAAAAAAAAAATCCCAAAACCTTAAGGACTGAAATCAAAGAAGAAGTCTGTACTTGAAGATGAAGTTATCAGTGCTGGCAGAAGCACAGCCAAAGATAAAAACAGCTTTGCTGAACAGATATAGATCTTGTTTGTGCCAGCTCCTGGGAACTGGCACTTCATACATAGGATTATCTGATTATATCATTCAGTTCTCTTTAATCTGACTAACTCCTGTTTATTCTCTTGGTTTCATTTTAGGTATGGTTTTCTTAGGAGTTAAGTGCTTTACAGACAGCCTACCCTTGCCTATTTATCTGTAGCTATCAGCCATGCTCATTCTCTACTTCAATTAGTTATTTTCTTATCTTTATATCCCATGAGATATGAGAGCTTTTGAAATCAGGACATTTTATTTATTCCATGCCCAGTGCACTAATTAGTGTAGACCCAATAAGTATTTGCTAGCTGAATGAGCGAGCACTGTAGACTCTATGAAATATACAAAATTCCCTGGGAAATTTATTTTTTATGACCTTTTAGTAAAATAAAATTAAAATTATAAAATACTTATTGAACAACTGAGATCCAATTTCCTTTGCCATGAGTTACTGAAACAGAGATACTGCGTGTGTGTGTGTGTGTGTGTGTGTGTGTGTGTTTATAATTGTAAAGGATTTCAAATGTAAGTGATGCTAAGGGTTCCAGCTATAGTACTAGAGAGCATTTCTTGGAACGTGTAAAGCTTGAAGGATTTGGATCTACATTTGAAAAAACCCAAGATATTATTGTAGTGTCTTGCATTCCCTAGAGCCACAAAAAGTCAGTAATTGTGATCAACATTCATTTGCAAGTAGAATTAAATAGTGTAGCAACTGCCAACATATAATAAATTATACAAAGTAGGCAAGTTACCAGCCTGCAGAGTAAACGCTACCATCCTTACTAATGGTAGAGAAGAAATTACATTTTATAGAGTCATGCTGAGGAAATTCGCATATGAAGATTAAGATACTAGTTAGATTTGAGAATATTACAGATGAAATTTAGCATTATAATTATTCCTTAAAACTTAAAAAATGAGCTGTGAAAGAGGCATTGTAATTGAGCAAAATACTCAGTGTCTCTTTCAGTTGTAAAATTACATTATTTCTAATTGATAACAATGAAAGTATCTTAATATTAACCCATTTTACTTTTGTAACTCTTCAGCCAGCTCAGCTCTAACCCGCCAGCTGTGTAACTAACATTACCTAATGCTCTGTTTCTACGGTGACATGAATCAGCCAGGTATAGTGCTGCTGCTTGCCATTCTCCAGATACAGGCTTGAACCAAGAATCTGAAATTTCTACTGGAGATTACTAGATCTAAGCAACTTTTATTTTTCCCGTAACTGTAAGGATACTGTTGTTTTGAAAACATAGCAAATATAATTGTAAGGTGCAGCTTTGTATTTCCTCCATCTAGCATGCTAACAATGGAGGTAAGTTGATGCTATAACTAAAATTTCCACTGTAAACTATCTTTCTCCGTGCAGCTAGTATCTATCACTGTGGATATCTAATGATTTTCTCCTACACATAGAGAACATGGCTTAACTTAAAAATCAAACCACATCTAAGATTTAAATGGTTGCAGTTATGTTATAAATCTGGATACAAGGACCCTGAAACAATGACTAATTAGCCTACGAAAACATTCAATATCTAAAAGGCCAGCAATTGTGACCAACACAGGCTTGCTTCTGAATGACTATGATCAGGCAAAGAAACAGAGCAACTTTTCCTCTAAAGCAAAAAAGAAAACAAATAGTGAGTGACTCCCAAGGGATATCTAGCTGAATTCTCTGCTCTTAAACTCTTGGTAGGAGGAGACGGATCAGTGCTAAGTATAGTGTGGCATCCTTAAAAGCCGTTCCCAGTTCTACATCCAGTAGACAGTTCAGACCCCATGCTGTGTCTCTGACTTCGTAGCCTGGGAATCCTTAGTTGAATGTTAGGGCAAGTGATCCTGATCGCCCTCAATTCAGGATGTACATTAGGCTGGGGTGCTCTATGCCATATTTGTCAGTAGAAAGTGAGAATTTTTGCCAGCAATTGGTTAGTAGTGATCATAGTACTGTTAAGACAGCTGCCCCTCATGTGTGCAAAAGATTGATTCCCAGATCCTGTGGATACTAAAATTCACAGCTACTCCAGTCCTGTATGAAAGGACACTGTGCTTTCTGTAACATATGTACATCCCTGTGTAGTTCAAGTTATCCCCTGATTCTTTCTTTTTAAGTGCTGGAGACTGTAATTAGGGCTATATGTTTGCTAGGTAAGCACTCTGCCACTGAGCTGCACCCCTGTTCCAGATGACTTTTAATATCTAATATAATATAAATATTTTTTGTTGTTGTTCTGACTTGTTTAGGGAGTAATGACAAGAAATAAAAGGGTCTATATATGTTCTGCATAGATTTCAGTTTTTTTTTTTTGAGGCAGTCCTCATGTAGCCTAAGATGGTCTCCAACTAACTATGTAGGAGCTGGTCTTGAACTCTTCTTCTTCATGCCTCCACCTCCCAAGTGCTGGGATTGTAGACATGTGGCATCATGTTCAGCTGGGTACAATTCTTTTAGAAGTATTTTTGACCTGTGATTCGTTTAATTTGAGGATGCAGAACACACAGATACAGAGGCCAGCTGCAGAGATGTTTCACTGTGGAAACCTGCTATGTGAAGAACTTTGCATTTACTACAGACTTTTTCTATGTAAGACACTAAGACATAACTCACACACACCCTTTCTGAGAGACCTGTAGGCCTTTAAATATTAAGGGTTACCACCACAAATGCTCTATGAAGTTTATTTTCAATTGGTAAGGCACATGACCAGAACACATGAATACATAGTCAATGTAGAGCTAGGAAGATAATAAAAAATACATGCTAAATGTATGGCGTCCTCCCTGTGGAGTCAGTGAATAGTTCTTAATACAGATAAAGCCATTCATCATGCCAAATAATATAAATCAGCTCCCAACTTTCAGTTTTAGAGATGTGTTTGCCCTTCTGCAGACCAAACAAATGTCCATGCCCCCCCCAATGTCTTTATATGATTTACAGTGGCCTCCTGTATTGCAGAGGTATCTTAAATGTTTTTAAAAGATATAATTTTCAACATGTTTATGTGCATGAGTTTATGTGCAGCACACGTCAGTGGGAGCCTGTGGAGACCTGAAGATTTGGATCTTCTGGAACAGGAATTACAGGTGATTGTGAGCTACCATGTGGGCGCTGGGAACTTATCTGGACCTCAGGCCTCTGTAATAGCCACGAGTATGCCTAACCAGTGAGCTATCTTCCCAGGATTCATCAGATTTGGATTCGTCTTCCTCAGGGAGTCATCAGACTTGCTTATGTGATATGCTCAGTGGAGTCCAACAATGTCTTGTTCTGTCTTTTTTTCCCTCCCCAACAAGAGAGTTTTAGATACTCTGTTCAGCCCATAGTAAGATGTTTCAGTCCAGAGCTCCGTGAGTTTAGACCTCAGTGGTAGAGTCCTTACCTAGCATATAAGAAAGCCCATGTTTGGCTTGGTGAGGTAGCTGTCTGCTCTTCCAGAGGTCCTGAGTTCAATTTCCAGCAACTACATGGTGGCTCACAACCATCTGTAATGAGATCTGATGCCCTCTTCTGGCCTGCAGGTGTACATGTGGACAGAATACTGTATACATAATAAATAAATAAAGTTAAAAAAAACCCAAACTCAATCTGTAGTTCATCAAAGATAAATAAATGGGTAAATATTCTACTTTTCCATGGTCTAGAAATTCTCCAATTATCTTCCTTAAATTTTAGCAATGCTTTTAGTTATGACTTAAGACAGATTTCTAGTGAATGGAACAAACTTATTATTTTTGGTCTTTAATTAACTATAATTTGCAACTATAATGTTATTTTCAAGTGTTCAGCTCCAAAGGTCTGGAGGAGACCTGATGGCAATACCATTGAAATGGACACACAGTTCACTATAAGAGCCAGAGAATTGCAGAGCATCTACAGCTGTATCATGTTGAAAGACCTTTCTCAGGACGAGAGGCTGGATATACTCCTGACACTGAAGCACACTGTGAAGGTATGTGTGTCCCCTGCCACACTGTGAAGTCTGTCTGTCCACTGTCACACTGTGAAGTCTGTCTGTCCACTGTCACACTGTGAAGTCTGTCTGTCCACTGTCACACTGTGAAGTCTGTCTGTCCACTGTCACACTGTGAAGTCTGTCTGTCCACTGTCACACTGTGAAGTCTGTCTGTCCCCTGTCACACTGTGAAGTCTGTCTGTCCACTGTCACACTGTGAAGTCTGTCTGTCCACTGTCACACTGTGAAGTCTGTCTGTCCACTGTCACACTGTGAAGTCTGTCTGTCCACTGTCACACTGTGAAGTCTGTCTGTCCACTGTCACACTGTGAAGTCTGTCTGTCCACTGTCACACTGTGAAGTCTGTCTGTCCCCTGTCACACTGTGAAGTCTGTCTGTCCCCTGTCACACTGTGAAGTCTGTCTGTCCACTGTCACACTGTGAAGTCTGTCTGTCCACTGTCACACTGTGAAGTCTGTCTGTCCACTGTCACACTGTGAAGGTGTGTCTGTCCACTGTCACACTGTGAAGGTGTGTCTGTCCCCTGCCACACTGTGAAGTCTGTCTGTCCCCTGTCACACTGTGAAGTCTGTCTGTCCCCTGTCACACTGTGAAGTCTGTCTGTCCACTGTCACACTGTGAAGTCTGTCTGTCCACTGTCACACTGTGAAGTCTGTCTGTCCACTGTCACACTGTGAAGGTGTGTCTGTCCCCTGCCACACTGTGAAGTCTGTGTGTCCCCTGCCACACTGTGAAGTCTGTCTGTCCACTGTCACACTGTGAAGTCTGTCTGTCCACTGTCACACTGTGAAGTCTGTCTGTCCACTGTCACACTGTGAAGGTGTGTCTGTCCACTGTCACACTGTGAAGTCTGTCTGTCCCCTGCCACACTGTGAAGTCTGTCTGTCCACTGTCACACTGTGAAGTCTGTCTGTCCACTGTCACACTGTGAAGGTGTGTCTGTCCACTGTCACACTGTGAAGTCTGTCTGTCCACTGTCACACTGTGAAGTCTGTCTGTCCACTGTCACACTGTGAAGTCTGTCTGTCCACTGTCACACTGTGAAGTCTGTCTGTCCACTGTCACACTGTGAAGGTGTGTCTGTCCACTGTCACACTGTGAAGTCTGTCTGTCCCCTGCCACACTGTGAAGTCTGTCTGTCCACTGTCACACTGTGAAGTCTGTCTGTCCACTGTCACACTGTGAAGTCTGTGTGTCCACTGTCACACTGTGAAGTCTGTCTGTCCACTGTCACACTGTGAAGTCTGTCTGTCCACTGTCACACTGTGAAGTCTGTCTGTCCACTGTCACACTGTGAAGGTGTGTCTGTCCACTGTCACACTGTGAAGTCTGTCTGTCCCCTGCCACACTGTGAAGTCTGTCTGTCCACTGTCACACTGTGAAGTCTGTCTGTCCACTGTCACACTGTGAAGTCTGTCTGTCCACTGTCACACTGTGAAGTCTGTCTGTCCACTGTCACACTGTGAAGTCTGTCTGTCCACTGTCACACTGTGAAGGTGTGTCTGTCCACTGTCACACTGTGAAGTCTGTCTGTCCACTGTCACACTGTGAAGTATGTCCACTGTCTTTCTTAGGTTTCAAGTCAAGGTCACCATCAATAAAAAGGTCAGCTGGATACTGGAATCACGAGTTCCTTCCCTTCCTCCCTTCCTTCCTTCCTCCCTCCCTCCCTCCCTCCCTCCCTCCCTCCCTCCCTCCCTCCCTCCCTCCCTTCCTTCCTTCCTTTTGACAGGGTTTCTCTGTGTGACAGCTGTGGCTGTCCTGGAACTAGCTTTGTAGACCAGGCTGACCTCTAACTCATAGAAACCCACTTGCCTCTTCCTCCCAAGTGCTGGAATTAAAGGTGTGTGTCACCACTGCCGGGCAAGTTCTCTTTCTTTATGTAATTATAAAGTGTGGGAAGCTTTTCGGGGCTGCAGTCGGAGTCAGCTGATCTGCTCATGGGTTCGTACCTGAGAGGGGGAGTGTGGATAAAGAAGAGGCTAGCTAAAGACATTAACGGAAAACACAGAGACACCGGATAAGATCAGGAGGGCAATTCAGTCAATACGGAGTGCCTCAAGTTTATTTTTCATCACTCTTAAACACCTTAACTGAAAAGGGGAGCATGGTATCATGTATATGGAACAAACAGACTTTTCTTCCTCAAATTTCCAAGGAGTCAGTAACTACACCTTACATGAAATTTCTCGTTATCTGACCTAGAGGGTCAAGAGTAAACACACCTCAGATTAAGTCTGTTGTTATTTAGATAAGACACCCAAGGCTAAGATCAAACATCCTACTGTAGCCCCACCTTTGACCTTTAGGCCTTATGACTTACTAAGGGCAGTTTTGAACTCTCTGACCTTTAGTCAGGAGTGGTGTCATCTTTATGGACCCCGACAATAAAGTTATTAATAAATGCTTGCATACATGAAATTATATAAACAGCTAAGTTATTTTGTTAATTTGGGAATAGGAATGACTTATGAATTAATACTTAACTGAAACCTCTCAAAGTCCGTGCTATGTCAGTGACAATCAGGCACAAAGCCGTGGGTCTGATTTGCAGCCTTGAAAAAATTATGTACATATCTTATGATGACGTAACAACATGTATACATAGTGTATTCAAATGGAAATTCATCTTTATGTAGCCATGTAAACATACGGTTTTAAAAATAATGTAAGCCATGTAAGTCATGATTTTAAAAACGGAATTAAAAAACAGCAATTGTTTTCTACATTTTGGACAGTTTTCAATGAAAAACTGCCCTTAGTCATTACAAATTTTGTTTTATCTATTGCTACTGTTTGTGCATCTGTGTTACATGTATGTAACATATGTAGAGGGACTCCTGTCCTGCATGCCATGTGCTCAGGGCAGCAAGAAAAGACCCCTGATCGGCGCCACTTTCTCAGGTGGGTAAGGACAGAGGAAGAGATAGGTGGGCCAGCGTCTGGCTGTGGGCTCAGCCGAGAGTGCGTATGTAGAGGTCACAGGATAATTTTCAGGACTGATTTTCTCTTTCCTCCCTCCCAGATGGGTAGATGGAAGACAAGTCATCAAGCTTGTCTTGCAAGTGCTCTTACCACTGAGTCACCTAGGTGCTCTGTTTTTAGTGGTTATAAAGCCATCTAGCGTCTTTTCTCCAGCCATCCCCCCCACGCAAAAAAAAAAAAAAAGATATAGACGTGTTTGTCTTTACTCCCTCACATACTATTTATTTTCTGTTTTAAATGAAAGTTGTATAGTGGATGTCATGGGTCAGATTTCCTCGAGAAATAGGCTCTGAGAAGGATTTGAATTCAGAAGTTTCCCTGGGCATCCTTGAATATAGAAAGTAGATAGAAAAAAATGTTCATGTTTTAAAGAAGGAACCTCCAGGATCATTCGGACACGAAGAGCGGGCACAATCGCGTCAGTTTCGCCAAAACTCTGAAGCTGGGCATGCCGTGAGGATTTGCCCGGTGTCAGAGCAAGGGTCAGGACTGATCGCTTGTTTCACTGAATTAAGGGTGTGAGTTTGCCCTGGCAAACTAAGCAGCTTTCACCAAATGACTGAGTTGAGTGTTGTCTTCCCACGATTCACCAGGAGGGGGCGAGTGAGAACTTCCAGTCCGGGGCTACAGAACACAGGCAGCTAGCTGCTGCTTGGATCTACTTTCTTGGTGATCTGTTCCTCCGATTTGGATCGATCTTTCTCTTTTCCTGAATAAAATTATAGTAGTGAGGTTAATGAGCAAAGTACAGACCCTATTGTACTTACAGGCATCAAGGCCTCAACAGACTCCCCTGTTTTCCCTCTGATATTCCTTTTAATGTTTCCCCACCCTGGATTAGCAGGGATTCTTCCCAAGGTTCCTGTCCCTCCGTGGGGTTTAAGAGCTCTAGAACACAGGGCAATATGCTCTTTTCTCAAAATTATGCAAGTGTTCACCAGGGGATGCCCAGACCTGAGTGCCAAGCACACATTTCTTATCCCCAGGGGGCGGGGTAATAACGCCTCCAGTGTCTTTTGGAACCAGAGTCAGTTACCTTTAAAAGGATGTGGACACTATCCTCTCCAGATCTCCTGACCTGGAGAGAAGTAGAGCTCAGAGGAGTAGTGTATCCTCTACTGGAAGCTGTTTAACTTAGGAATTAGGACCTTTAAACTTGAATTGCCCCAAGTATAAGGCACAGGAGGCAAAATATCTTCAAGAAGTAAGTGGGACCTTCCCTGTCCCTGCTCCTGCTACCCCCAGGTGAGGGCAGCTTCAGAGGTTCCACTTGGTCTTTCTGGTTACACTGCCTCACAGCTCAAGGCGATCGGAGCAAAGGAGGCCATGCCAACTTCGACATATATTCCATTCCAAGTACACAATCACAGAGCAGACTAATAATCTCTCTCTCTCTCTCTCTCTCTCTCTCTCTCTCTCTCTCTCTCTCTCTCTCTCTCTCTCTCTCTCTCTCCTCTCTGAACTTCTTGTATCTCTTTTGTGAGCTCGACCCAGGCCAGAAATCCATTTGATTTTCATTCCCATTTATTCCCGATTCACATAGAAATCATGGGGCTTTTTTCCTCTGTAGTTGATTACTTATTTGATTCAGAATGTTCCTGAGATGACACATGACATCATGCTGGATTTTGGACTAATATAGTAGTTATCTTCAGCCAAGATGGTTGTGTTTCAGAAGTGGGCAATCTCAGAGGGAGAGAGGGATGGAGGGAGAGAGGGACAGAGAGAGAGACAGAGAGAGAGAGAGAGAGAGAGAGAGAGAGAGAGAGAGAGAGAGAGAGAGAGCAAGCGAACTAGCTAGCATTAGTAAAGAATTGTTGTCTTCTACATGCCATAGCTAGCAGTGGTTCAATCCTGGGGGGTGGTCTGGGAACCACACTTCATTTGTGCAAGTTATATGCTTTCCGTGTTCCTAAAGGGGGGAGGCATTCCAATATCACTAGGACCAGCAGTACTCTTGCATTAGACAGCTCCAAATGAAAGTAATCTTAGGCATATATCATTGGAATTGCTGGCATATTAAATGAGGGAATTCAGATAGTGTTTTGTTTCTAAATTGTGTTTTAGTTCTTGAAGATAAGCTCTTAGCAGCTTCTCCTTTTGTGACATAATTGTGACATAATGTGACATTAATTGTTTATGAGTGATCATCTATGTGAAAGAATTAAAGTTTGGACATAAAGAATGGATTAAATAACTGGGTGGTCAGTCAGTTTTGCCATCAGGGTGACCCACAGTTTCAAGCAAGTGCATATAGATGACTCAATAAAAAACAGTGTTTCACTAAAAATAGCAACTGGAAAAATACTGGCTGCATTTAACTCTATCTAACCAACTCACTTGTTGACAAGCCTGAGAATTTTACAGTCATAACTGTAGATAGCCCCTTTGGGTTCTTTGTCCCTTAACTGCGTAGAACTCTTCTGTTGAGAAAAGTCAGAACCCCAACACACAAGGATCTTAAGACACACTACAGAGTTCAATAACTAGCTCATAGGTTTTGTGCATCTCTGCCTGTCGGGGAGGAGAGGCATGGGTTGCTTTTACCCTGGGTTACTGATGTAAAGATGCTGGTGTTGTAAACAGCCTTGGCAGAAACCTTCTTAGATAGCAAAAGAGAAGCAAAGTTGAGAGACAAGAAATAAGGACGTTTCTAGAGGGTCATGTAATGACCAGGTTGGCAAAGAGAGAAAGAGAGCACGTGTAGGGAATCCTCCTACCTGGTAATTAGGGACAATCCCCAGTTAACTAAAGAGGCCAAGGATGAATTCCAAAGATGACCCGTGTATCTGAATTTGTTTAACCTAAACTATTGGGATGAAATTTATTTAACAATATTTTGAAGCAAGATAAAGATATAAACATAACTCATTCTGACTAAAATAAGCTTAAATATCATTAAGTAAGCTACTTGAAGATGTATATGTGTATCTGTTTACTCAAATATGTACTAAGAAAGACCAATGAATTTTAAACCTGGTTATACACTAGAATCACATAGAGCTTCAGAGACAGACAGACAGACACATACACAGAGGGGGAGAAGAGGGAGGGACTGAGACAGAGAGAGACAGATAGAGAGACTGACTATGAGTATGAATAAGGTCTAGACACCATTTCAGAGACACTAACTTATATCCTTAGGCATGGAAGCCCTATTAATGAAAATCTATTCATTTTCTTCAAGGCCCTTCTAAAAGGCTTCCAGGATGAAGCACTACTACTTTCACACTTTCAATTTAATTTGTTAATGTTAGCAAATGTCTAGAAAAAGTAGGAAAGAGCATTGTTTTACAGTCGCTCTCTGCCCATTGTCTCCCCCACAGAAACTGTATAGCATCTGTTTTCCCCCAGACAGGGAATACACTTATCTCTGTTTCACTGCTTACAAATATAGTTAAGCCCTTAATTCTCACCTGAAGTTTCCTTGTTTGTTCAAACTACTCAGTTTCAGCACTTTAGTAAAAAGTGTTGGACGACACAATTGGCATGTGGAAATAGATACATAGTTTAGTAGTGCTGAACAGGGTATTCCACCATTGCTAAACTATGTATTCAGTGACCTTCTATACCCCAGTGTGCTCCTTTCTTTCCTCCTCCTAGACTTCCTTCTGTGTCCTTGAAGTGATCGCCAGCAGTGGACAGTAGTTTTCATGGGTGTCTTTCCTTTGATTCTTCTTAATGGTTTTGCTTCTTCTGCACAAGCCTATAAATAATTTGGTTCAGCGTTTCTACTTTTGACCCTTAGTGAAATTACACTGTGTGTAACAATTTGTATCTGGTTCACTTTGCTGACTTCATAAGACTTCAGTGTTAAGATTTACAGCTATCATATAGCTTGCTCATTTCCATAAAGTCCATTATATTGGTAAGCTATGATTTATTTATACATTCAATTTGCTTATGAATAGTTATTTGTAACCTTTGGCTACTGTGAAGTAGCTTTTTAGATACAGTTCTCTAATGGACTTGTGCAAAGAACTGCTGGGTTATAACTTACACATTATCAAGCCAACTATTTAATGATACTTTGGTCCCCAATAAGTTGTACCAAATTTTACTTCTGTCAGCTTTTAAAATGTTTTAGAACTGGAATTCCTGTTTGTTTAGTATTTTCAAAAATAGAGATTTAAAATAATTATACTGAGTACTTTTATGTTTTGTATAGGAACATGAATGTAAACTGACCCAAGAAATCCTAGAATTGATTGACAGAGAAGTTGACCTTATGATGAGAGGAGTCAAACCTCACAATCTTGAAGGACTCAGAAAAAGGATTACGACACTCTTTTTTCACTACATCAAAACGCCTCTGTTTAATCCCGAAGTTGCAAGATACCTTAAGGTACTCTCCTTACTGTACTTATTTTCAAAGTGCCAAGATTTTATATCATTAATCGAAAGATATTCAGTGTCTGCTTCTACACTTTATACAAATCTAAGCAAGACCATCACTAGGTGAGACCTCTGCATTTAGTAATGTTGATAGACTCAACTTTCCCATTGTCCTCTTCTTTGTATGAAATTTCTGCCTTGAATTCTTTTCTGAGAGCCGAATTGACTTTCCGGTTGCTGCACAGAGTTGAAGACACAGTGATCTCTCATTTGCCCCCTCCTGCAGTGCTATGCTCTGTTTGCTCCAGCCAACTCTTATTCATTTTCAAAAACCAAACTCCTGCTACTTCACTCTCATGAGGCCTCAGTTGGCCTTTCCACCTCTAAAATTCTCCCATCGTTCTTGTCTGTCTTCCTCTGGCATTTAGAATGCAAGTGTAAGTATCAGCAATTGGATTCATGAAGCCAGCTTGAAGAACTCCAAATGGAGCTTGTATTTGAGTTAAATTATGTCTCCTCACTCCAGTGTCATTATGTTTCTGGGAGCTTTGTATACCTCACTATCTTCTTACTACACTATTTAACCCACTTTAGTAAATTGGGAAGTTTCATTAAAGAGTCATAGTTGTAGGATTTTTTCTTTTTTCTTTTCAGAATTATAACCCAGGGCATTGACTATCTTTAGATTTTTGGAAAAGCAAAAACCTCAAAATATAGACAAAAATCTATAAAAACAAAATGTCCTTATTATTCATATTCTGTTTATTTAGTTAGAAAATGATTGTGCTGTTCAAAAGACTGGAAGAAACGTTTCCCATTGTATTACTTCAGTTATAACCAGCCCAGTCTAGGATATGGACAGAGTGATTACAATGATCCCCAGGTATCTGAGAGTCAGTCACTGTGCCTCCATCCTATGCTCCTACCAGCTACTCCTCTCCATAGTGGACTAGTTATGATCATAGCAGGTACTTTCAGCAGAACCCGTGTAGGCAGCTGGACAGCTATGGACAGCAGAGTAGCTATGGTCAACAGAGTAGCTATGGGCAGCAGCCTACCTCTAGTTACCTCCCTCAGACTGGATCCTACAGAGCAGCAGCTATGGGCAGCAGAGTTCATTGCGATGGAACAGATGGGAGGGAGACGAGGTGGACATGGAGGACTGGGGAGAATGGGTAATGGCAAGCACTATCGGGAATGTAGAGACCAGCCCTACTAGAGAGACCCACAGAGCTGCATTGATGACCAGATTTAGTTTTTAAACCAGAAAATGTTTTAAATTTATAATTCCAAATTTGTAATGTTGAGCACAGCATTATGATTATTCCTTGTTTTTAGTTACTTTAGTATTTTCACCATTTCTGAAGAAATGTTAAAGCAAGTTAAATGGTTTAAAAAAAGGACCATGATACTTCTTTTGTACCTAACAAATCAGCTTTACTTCAGGGAGCAACAGTTGCCTTCTGTCCTCTCCTGGAATTTTGTCACTCTAAGCTTTATCATTGGGGCTTTGAAACATTTTATGTTATTTTTCTTACACGACAAAGGTTAGTCAAGGCCATTTTCTTGTTAGTTTTATCAACTGTTTTTCATACTTGAAAGAAAAATCTACACTGAATTTGCAGAGTCAGACAGTCTCTGCAAAGATCTTAGGTCAACAGCAATAAGATAAACGTTACCCTCTGCCTCTTCCACTTGAATCGATTTATTTCCCTTCCACATCACTCAGGAAACAGCTTTCAATACAATATTGAATGAGATCGCTGAGTGCAGATAGCCATCCCTCGTTCCAAGTAATAGTCAAAAAGAATGTATTTTTTAAATGTACTAAGAGTCAGAACCTTGATTTTCTAAATACTCTGCCATCATCTGTCCAGGGGTTAGAGAGTAACACAGATTTTTAATACGTTGATCAGGAAAATGAATCTTCCCAGGAATTTAAATCTTATACAGAGTAGGCAGTTAAAAGGCAAAATAGGACTTTTTAAAGTAACTAGTTTTAGAATTAATTCTAAGCAGTCTTCCGTGTTTCTGTTTAGCATGTGGCTTGGATTTTTATCATTTTTTATTTTTTCCTATTTAGGTCCCTCAAGACCCACTGAAGTTTTATGATAAGATTTATTTTTGCCACAGTTGCCAGTTGTATTTGCCGTCTGTGGAATTTTCTGTGTCACCCACCTCACGCCGTGTGTACCGCTGCCGTCACTGTGTGCACCTTGAGAATGAGACTGAAAAACGGGAATCGTTTTTGAAGTACAAGTGTTTACTTCAGCGGCTCTATTACTCAGAAGTTGAGTATGGGGATGACTCTCAGATTGCTTTCCTCATGCAGGTACGATCTATAAGGATGGCAGTCATGAAATACACCAGTCAGAGAGCCTGTCTCCTAAGGGGCTGTATTGACATGAAGTTCAATACATTTGAACATAGTTTTGTCTGGGAAACATTACATGGGGTTTCCTAAAGCAGAGACCTGTGGCATTCCTGAGTTTCATGCACAGATATGCTCTTGGTATTTAAGTTCTGTACTATGCTCTGAAAACTCCCTGGCAAATTAGGCATTGCATCCTAGAACAGAAGGTAGATGTTTAAAAAGAATGACAGCAAGTATGATGGAATATGCTAGCTACAGGAGACTAGTAGTCATAGAGCATGAGACATCTGATAGCAGACTTTGTGTGGTCGATTGAAAGATGACAAAGTTTGGGCTGTGGCTCAAGAAAGAAAAGTCTTTTGAATGATGTTCCCTTTTGAAATATTCACTCAGCATGATTTAATTGCTTTCCCAAGTAATATGATGATATTTAAACCATTTATTTAGAAGGAAACAAAATTACTGTTCAACATTATTTTGGCATGTAGCTCCAAGATATTAAGTACTTGACAGAGAACATCTGGGCCTCCCAGTCCATCCTCAGTGCCTGGGATGATCTCAATGACCTGGTCATGGTCAGGTGGGATAAGAAGATGGAGTGGTCTCCCTGGAATTGCATTCTTCTCACCAAGGATGAAGCGGTAGCTCATCTCAAGCTACAGAGTATTGAGCAGGTAAGGTGCTGTATTCTGAAATTTTAACTTAGCCAATGGGGTTATAACAGGCATGTTGAATACCCTTTAATATACCAATGACTGTCTGAAGAGACCCATATATGGGGTGAAAATAGCAAAATAATGTGGATGTTGTGTATTGCAGATGTGAAAATGAAAAGAAAGGTAAGGTATATTGGGCTAAGGATGAGAGATGTGAATATATAAGCATCTAACATTACCTTACCCTCTTCTAACAAGTTTGGGCACATTCGTTTCACAGTGAGTTCTGTGAAGGCCTTCGTTTCACTTATGTGTTTCTATCTCTTTAATACCTATAATAATAATGCCTGTTGAAGACCAGGAATTTGACAAGTATTTGTTGACTAACCCTTGACCAGCATGTGGGGGCCACAGCTAGCAAAATGGCAACTTGTACATCCACTATGGAAATCCTCAACATCCTAGTGCTAGAACTACCATGTGATTCAGCTATGCTATTTCCTGAGTATATGCCTGATGGAATCTAAGTCTGAATGCCACAAGAGGCCACAATTTTTCTGTGGCATTCTTCATCACAGATAAGATATGGAATTAACCTAGGCCCAATCAACTGATGAATGGATATACATATATTATGCTGTGTGTATTTGCTTTATAATCAGAACACAGTGTTAAAGTAAGTATATGACATCCTTGTCTGAAGATACCATGATGAAATTATTTTGCATGTTAATTTAAAACAAATAAGCATCTGTATAATGAATAATGCTTGTTACCAATATATAAATATTATGAGACCCAGAGTTTATCCTTTGATTTATTGGCAGGAGTTTGCCTTAAAAAGTACTCAACTGTCAAATAAATTCTATTCATAACTTTATGATCTAAACAGCATTCATATTGATGAGATTCCATTCTTCTATTTGCTTCCACCTAACTAAGAGTGGAAAAGCGCTGCAAAACTTAACTACTACTTAATTTCAGTGACTTACAAGATGAAATCTGTAATGCATTCTGATGAATAAACTTGAGGGGCCCTTAAAGCCTTCCTAGAGGGCTCCATTTACACTCAGCAAGTGCAATGCCAGGAGCTAGCTCAAGTCTCTCTCAATTTATTATATGACTGTATTTTTAACTCTGTGCACAAGATGCAGCTAAAGGAGAGTAAAACAATGACGTCAAATGCAGTCATTCTGAACAGTGCTGTCCCAAGCAAGATGCTACTGTTGTTTGTTTTCGAAAGGGAGGTCAAGGAAATTATATAGAGAGGAAACTAGTTACAATTTTAGCCTTTCTCAATAATTTTTGAATTCTAAGAAGCCAGGCTATGAAAAATTCACTATAGGGATTGAAAGAAAGGGCAGAAAGAAATTGAAGCTATGTTAAATGTTATATTTAGTAAACTAAGCTGCTTCATAAATATTTAATCACTGGAAGCACAGCCAGTACCAGCGATATCATTTCATCTAGGACCTGTGATGAAACTGAAATTCATTCCCAAAGCTGATATTCCAGTTCTTCTTCAATTAATCTACACAACTCCTTTGTGTACCTAATCAAATCACTGAAGTCTCAAATTAAATGTTTCATTCAGGAGCATTTCTAATCTCAGGACGCCAGTCTTTCTGAATTCTGCGAGTGGCTCTAATGCCAAGCCTTTCCCTCTCTCTACAACCTCCAGTGTGTGCTGTCCTGTAAGCCTTACTGTCCATTCCTTTCTGAACAATTCAAGTTTTTGCAGCAAATCAAAACATTTCCAGACATAGACACTGGCTTTCCTTGAGTCAACAACAGAGCAAAGAAGCAAACACAAGCACAAAACAGCAACAGCAACCACTGCCATAAAACCACCATCACCATAACCACCACCACAACCACTGTAACTACCTCCACCACCATGACAACCACCACCACCACAACAACAACAAAAACTGCCACCACCATGACCACCACCACCACCACCATCATAACAATTGCCACCATTGCCACCACCATCACAGAGTATAAAGTGATCTCTATTCCTTGCAGCAAGGCAGAGGAGAAGGACTTCATTTCTGAGAGGGCAGTGTGAGGAGGACTAGGCTCTCTCTCACAGCATGTAAATTGGCTAAAGCTGGGCCAGTGGGTCACTAAAAATCTTCTCTCATGTCCGAGTATCTTCCCTGTGTTTGTCACTATCAAGTTGTGCACACACATGAAGACTGACTATCTTTATGCTATGAAAATTGAGAAGATTGGCTAAAAAAACATGGTGTTAACAAAAAGAGTGAACGTTGCAGTGACCTCATGAAGTAGGATGGGACACATTTTTTAATGCTTTAATGCTCTTGTTTTCTCATCTATAGCAAGGAGATGATGCTGTCTCATCTTAGTGAAGTTTTGGAAACACTAAATGATCTCCACTTAGTGTCTGGCATTAGTTACTTTGGGTAATAACTCTGTCTATGAAAGTACTGTGAGCCAGCTATTTCTACTGCACACTTTCTTGTTCTCAGGACTTTCCTCTTTGGCTTTGTAAAGGTTCTGCAGTGTAAAATGTCTTACTCTCAGAAAATAAAACTTAAGGGAGACATAGGAAGTATTGTGATTGGGTGAATAGACATCTGATTGAGAACATTGAAGAGAATAGCTGATATTTATTAATTTAGCCAGAACTTATTTTGGATATGCCAAATATTGTGTAAAGTGCTGTGAAGGGAAAAAACAGCAACAACAAACAAATGTAATGAACACAATTTTTCATTGTTTCTGTTGCATTTGGGCTCAAATGTAATAAAAGAGTGAGCAAATATATCATGACTTAATCAAATTGGGGTTTTTCTTATGCGATAAGGAGACCAAGGGTGGCAGTTCCTAGCTAGGATGGTGTCTCCACAATGTTTTCAGACACTCAGCTCTTCCAGCCTTTCCCTCAGCTTCCTCTAACTTATGATTCCCCCACCCCGTTCATATGGATCTAGAGTGAAAGATGGTAACTTCATCAGTGTCATGTCTACTGCCCACGTATGGGAAAAGTATAAAGATGCTTGATGCATGAATCTTTCTAAGAATCCACCTTAAAATGTAAGCTTTGTTCAAATGTATGTATGTGTAAGCATATAAATTTGTCACTTGTTACATGCCACTGGAATGAAACATAGAAACCCAGGTATATCCTATCCCATATCAGGTAACTGCTATATATACAAATGGAAGGGAGAAAGAGTATAGAATTAATAACAATAGTTTGGACTTAAGAGAGGGGAGTGAGGGAGAGAGACAGACAGACAGACAGACAGACACACACACACACACACACACAGAGAGAGAGAGAGAGAGAGAGAGAGAGAGAGAGAGAGAGAGAGAGAGAGAGAGAGAGAGAGGAAAGAACATATCCTGGTAGACTTTAAATTGAAGCATCACAAGAACTAAGCCTGAGAGATAAGAGACATAGTGAGAAGAAAATGTATCGTAGGTTGAACTGATAAATATGTCAAACAAACAAATAACAAAGCATACTAAGACATGGTTATATTTCATATGGCAAAATGAAACAGAATTTTATTTTCTTTTATTTACAGGGGTACGAACGCCTTTTTATTCACAAGATCAAGCACAAACATATCCTGGCTAAAAACTATTTTTCACAGATTCCAATGCTGGCTTCACTTATACTTGAAGATGGTGACATAGAAGAGATTAGACGTAAACACTGCACAGACAAGCCACCTAAAGTTATAGAAGCCCGTGAGACTCTCTCTTAGGGGGCTTAGGAGTACCATTCTGATGATGAGCATGTTTTTTCTCTACTAAGAGAGTAAAACAAAAGTCACGGAATATGGAAACAGCTTTTATATTTCCATTGGTATTTGTTTTATTCATAATATTTTAAATTATATGAACAGAAAAAATCTGTATACATGAACCATTGTTGTGTGGTTAGTACTAAATTAATCTGTAATTTTTGTTTCTAGGATTAATAATTAAAGAGAACGTTTTTATCTATTTTCATGTGAAGTTAAAAAAAAACCTAAATGCTTTTTAGTCAAAATACAACAGCCAAACAAAATCTTGTCTTAACTTTCAAAGAAAATAATTTATTTAACATACTTTATGAGTATAATTATTCCATATACATACCTGTATTTTCATATAAGTGCTTGGATTTTTTACTTTTATTGTCTTTTACCTTTTAATCACATAATCCAAGAAAAGAAACTGTAAACAAACAAATCTGCCTTGCATACCATGAAAAAAAAACAGTGGAAATGTTATTTATGGAGGAGACTCCCTGTTGGGAAATGTTGAGATTCTATAAGTAGTATGAACTTGATCAAATCAACTGCCAGTCTACTTCTCAATAAACTCAACAATAACCCTGACTCTATATCTGTCTTGAATCTGTGATGAATGTCGATGCACCCAGAGATGGCACACCAAAAATAGCATGATTCAAGAAGAGTTTTATTTACAAAAGAGCTTGTTCTAAGATAGACATGATGCAGGGACAGAGAAGGAACAGTGCGGGAGTCCAGGGTGAGATCCAGACACACTGAGTCTTTCCCACAGTCCCCAGTACTTGGGAAGGGAGAAGCCAGGGAGCCCTGGCAGAGTGGAAAGGGATAAATAGGTCAATGAGAGGACGAGCAACCAACTCAAGATAACCTCAAGAACCAAAAAATAAACCCTCAGTCTCACACTTCTGCCTTGCTCCAGTTGCCTTCTCCAGTGGGAAAATCTCAAAAGGAAGGAAGCAGAGAATCAAAGGTCAAATGACTTTAGGGTAAAGGACAGGGTAGAGAATGGTTGAACAGACATGGAGGACTAAACAGAAAACACTGGACAAGGAAACAACTGAAAGTGGGATAGAATCAAATAGTGATATTTCACTTATATCACAGAATTGTAGAGAAACATGTATTTTACTCTAATATTTTATAAATGATGCTCTTTCGAGTTTAGAGATCAACAACATCACTATAAATATTTGTTCCATATAAGCACTGATATCTTAGCAACATGTATCTAGCATATCTGCAAATTTTCCTTACACAGCAAGAGCATGACACTTGTCAACTGTCGTTAAGGAGCCAAGCATTTAGAAGAAAACTCTAGAGCACTGTTTCCTTTTTTGATTAATAGTCCAGACAGCCTGAGAACTTTCTTAACAAAACATTCCAGTTGGCACTAGAATAGAACCAAACTGATCATTGGTTTAATGGGAATAATTTATCTTGGACACATTCAGGTTTACACAGGAATGGGAATAACCAGGTTTTTGCAACATAGTTCAGGATAATTTGTCAGCTCTGAGAAGAACTGAAAAGGTGGTTAGGGAGAAATAGCCAGATAGGATCAAGTGAAGTATTTTTTGAGCCCTCTTGGCCCACTGATGAAACAATTGGCTAGAACATTGGCTCCTGGGAATGGAAGACAAGGAGTGAACAGAGAGAAGGAAATAGATGCCCAAAGCCTGACACTAGATGTTAGGATATTCATTTCCCCAGATCATCCTGTTTTTTTTTGTCTGTTGGTAGTGGCTGTGTTTCTCTAAGACCATGGCTTTGATTGGATCTACCTCCAGCATGGCGCAGCTCTCCTTTAATTTCCTAGATCTGCCTTCCTGCTTTCTATCTTTCACTTGAAAGCCTGTTTCTGTTTTTGTAAGAAATTCAAAGATGCTTTGTTTTTGTTGATTTCCTTAGTGTCTTCTCTTTTTGGTCAATCCTTTTACTAAATGACACTCAAATTAAGCAGTTTAGGTATGTGTATTAGTTACTTTTCTGTTGCTGGAATAAAATATTTGGATTAAAAGCAAGTTAGGGAAGAGAGAGTTGATTTTGGTTACCTATTCTAGGGGGGGATTCAGTTCTTCACGGTGGGGACAGCCTAACAGCAAGAGTCTGAAGCCAGCCTAGAAGTCAAGAAAGTTGGCTGATCACATTTTATTCCCACATAGAAAGCAGAGAAAGAGAATAGGACATGAGGCCAGGCTATAAAACTTCGAAGTGCTCCCAGTGATACTTCCTCCAGCAACACTCTTTCTCTTAAACGTCCGAAACTTTGCCAAGCAAAGCCAGCAACTGAGAACCAAATGTGGAAACATGAGTCTGTGGGGGACATTTTTATTCAAACCACAACAGTGTACCAAAATGTTCTTTCTGGGCCCTGACCACAGCAGTAATTGGCCTCTATGAGTAGCCTCAAGAAGATAAACTGAAAATGTAGCCTTAATCTTGGATTGCTTATGTGTTTGACTTCTTGTCTAGGGAGGAACAGGATGAAGGCAATATGCAGCATGGGGCAACTTGACAATTGTTTAGACTATCACCAGCTGGCACAGTATACAGTGTGGATGGAGAATAAAACAGAGAGATATAAGAGGTGACGCAGTTAGTGACTACGTTAGTTAGCTTCCCATTATTGTTACAGAATACCTCAGAAAAGTGCATCAGATTAGGAAGTATTTATTTGGGATCATGTTTTCAGACATGTCAGCACCTGTTTGCTTCCAATTCCTGAGAATTCCTGAGGAAGGAAGTAGTCAGGTGTGGTGGCTCATACCTGCAATCCCAGCAATGAGTCTTAAGCCAAAGTGATTACACTGAGTTTGTGGTCAGCCTGGGCTGCTCAGTGAATTCCAGGACAGTTTAGATTACAGAGTGAGAACTTTTCTCAGAAATTGAAGGAAAATTGATCTAGAGATCCCATTTCTGGATAATTAGGATTTCGAAGAAATACTGGTTTTCCTGGTTCAGAAATGCTATACACAATAGCTAAAATTAGGGAAAAAATTTCAATGGACAATTACTCAGCCTTTTAAAAAGTTTTGCAATGTTCAACTGTATTGATGAACCTTTAAGACATTTTGTTAAGTGTAAAAAGTCACTCATAAAAGATAAAAATTACATAATTCGGGCCTAGAGAAAGAAATGGCTCAGTGGTTAAGAGCACTGGCTGTTTTTCCAGAGGTCTTGAGTTCAATTCCCATAACCACATGGTGGCTCACAGCCATCTGTAGTGAAATCTGGTGCCCTCTTCTGGCCTGTAGGAATACATGCAGGCAGAATTCTGTATACATAATAATTATATATTTAAAATTACATAATTCTAACCATATTAGGTATCAAAAATAACTACATTCAAGCAAAGAATTGCTATTGTCATGAACTAGAGGGAGGAGGGGAAAAACTAAGTCTGCTAATCAATGAGTATAGAACTTTGTTGGTGAAAGATAAATAAGTTGTAAATATCAGCTATACCACACTGATCCTGTAATTATCAATGTAATATTATATAGATAAAATTTTGTTAAGATCTGATGTTACCAAAATAAAATGAAAAGATGCTCCAGAAGCAAAGTGATTTGGCTCTGTTGAGACTTGTAACAAAGATGATGGATTACTTATAAGATTGATAATCAGGACCACTTGAGTTTACTGAGTAACTGTATTGGTTTCCCAGGGTTATCATAGTAAACTAATATGTATTTGGAAGCTTTAAACAACAGAAACATATTTTCTTTCATTTTTAAGGTCCAGAGGTCTTAAAGTATTTGCAGAATTACACTGTCTCCGGAATCTTACTTTACTTTTGAGTTGTTAGGAACCAAGTTTGGGGATTTGTGGATCTAAGTGAGTTCTCCACCACTTTATTCAATGTCAGGCCTCCTGAAGTCCATATGGGACATCAAGCCTTACCTCTCGGCAGTTTCTGGTGGCTTTCAACACCCCTTTCTTTACTGACTGTATTTCCACAATGGCATTCCTCTTCTGTGCTCAAAGTGCACCCTTCTTTCTACATGTTTATGCCTTATTTGATTTGGGGCCTACCCACCTAATCTAGAATGATCTTATATCTAAAAATTTATTATTTCTTGTAACATGACAAATAAAAACCCAGAGACAATATTGAGGTTCAAGCTTCAAGTTGAAGATCAGAGAAGCAAAGAAGCCAAGCCAGTAGATCCTACTTACATCTACCCAGCTGAAATGGCAATCCTGTCCCCACCAATCCTCAGAGGCAAAAGCTTTTCATTCCCTGTTTCCTCCTGCCCAGCTTTTTATTCCTTTCTCTGCCCAGCCATATCACTCCTGTCTCCACCTCCCTAGAGCTGGGATTAAAGGCATGTGATCCCAGATGCTGAGATCACTTTTGTGTGAGCTGTTTCTTTTAGGACTGGGTCAATTTCATGTAGTCAGTGTGACCTTGGACTAACAGAGATCTGTTTGCTTCTTAATCCTGAGTCCTGGTGTATACCACCACCACCTAGCTTCTATAGTTAACTAGTGTGGCAGCTTTGTTTTTTTGATCTCCAGTGGCTTTAATAAATCATAAACAACATATCACCACATTTTATGTGAATAAGTATTTCTAAGCACATAGGTATGTGCAGCACAAATGTGCATGGTGTCCCAGGAAGCTAGGGAAGGTCATCAGATTCCTTGAAACTGAAGTTATAGGCAGTATTGAGCTGCTACATAGGTTCTGGGAACTGAACCTTGGTCCTCTGCAAGAGCAGCAAGTGCTCTTAACTGTTGAGTCATTTTTTTCAAGCTCCTAATAACCTATCTGGATATTCAACTTAGCTTTACTTATAAAGACCCTTTATCCAAAACAAGATTGCATTCAGGATGTCTGAGAGCTAAAACATGAAAATATTTTGGTAGAAGCTACCATTCAACTCATTACTACAACCTGCTATAGTTCTATTTAATGTATTTGAGAAGGAAATACTTTAGTCCTGAAGGGCCAAATAATGTGCTTAAGGTACCAGAGTGGAGAATCACAATCGTGCCCAACCTTCTTAGGTGGAAGCCTCTTCACAGACAGATGGAGAGGCACTGAAGGATGTTTACCATGACTACTCATCCAGGTCTCCAGAAGCAGCCGTGCTCTTTTCCAGGAGGGAGTCCTTTGGGAAAAGATAAATGCCCAGAACTGCTGGGCATTCACAGAGACTGGCTTTCAAATGACTCTGATCCCTAGATTTGAAGTATTATGGTCCACTGGTCAGAGTATCGGTCTAGGATGGATAGTTGATACATTGACCTAATGCCTTCATTAGTGAAATGGTAGACTCATCCTGTTTTCATTTTCTCATTCCTAGAATATAAAGCAGAAATACATATAGTTAGTTACCGGCAATATTCCTGTGTGTATTTTCTCTTTCCTGTGGTGAACATTCCTACTGTTATAGGAGGAAAGGCCAGTGAACTCCCGAGAGAGTACCCCTGCATCTGCTTCTAGAGAAAGAGCCAAAACAGCACCACATCCATGGGATAACTGATGCCATAAGTGACATGATAGGTGATGACTCTCACCACATTTCCATCTGCCTATTGTGGAGGGATATTTGTACATTGTGTGAAAATGTATTGCT